TTGGTGGTAAGTTTAAAAAAGGGTACGTATGTTTATTACGCCCTTTTATCCTTAATTGTATGACCCTTTGGAAATCAATAAATATGACTTCAATCCATTTCTTCCATGTAATATAAATTTCCCATGGTGCTTCACATCTGTACCTCTGCTATTTTGTTGAGTCTCTGCAGGCCACAGAGGAAATGGGCGACTTCACTTTCATCTAAACCCGGGAAGTTGATTGCCTGAAAGAGGCAGTTTTAGTGCAAAGGTCAGAGGTCATTCAACATTTCATTTACCAGATGTATACATGAACTGGGGAAAAGGAAGCCGTCTGACGAACTGAGTTATTTTTGGGAATCATGGACGTACCTCTCCATCCATAGCTCTGACAAGGAGATTCAGGTCATACTGTTGTTGTGCGATGAGGGTTGTGAGTTTCACCTTGAAACAAGCAGCATAGACTCATCAGTGAGAAGAAAGACACAATGTATGCACTGAATCTAAAGAGAAAGAGTAGACACTGGGGAGGACATTCACCAAGGACAAACAGCTGTGGACACAACAAACACTAAAATGTGCACTATTATCTTTTTTTCCCACGTATTTGAACTACATTGAGCTGGCACAGGTCCATGACACATTGTGTCACGGTTCTCATATGACCTCGAAAACATGGACATTTCACAGAAGGTTTTTCTTGTAACCCAAATGCTCAGAAAATGAAAAAAATAACCTGGTAAATGTCATTAGTGTGCAGAGTGAAAGTAAAAGTAACAAACTCACTGTTAACATAGTCCACTTCCAACAAAGTCATGCATTTAAAACCTTTAAGTAAAATGATGTAACTATTATCAGCAAAATGTACATAAAGTGTAACAAATAAAAGTAAGCATTAAGCAGAAAAACTGTTTTACTATAATATATATTGTTTTTTGAGTACAATATAATATGCTAATATTATGTGCAATGTATGTTGTATTTTACTGCTGTAGATGTAATTTCAACTACTTTATATACTGTTGGGTAATTTAATCTACAGCAATGTATCATATACTATAAGATCATCATATGTTTGTAGCTTCGCTGTCCTGTGAGAATCCTGTATCTCTAAAAAGTAAACTTGGAGATAAGTGGTTTTCACTGGAGAGGAAGGGAAGGAAAAATTGTAATCTGAAATGTAACTAGTAACTAAAGCTGTCATAAAGTTGCATAAAGTCAAACATTTGTGCTTAAGTACAATACTTTTTTTCTTCTTTTTTTCTTGCATGATTACATTTAATTTACATGAAACATGCAGCAATTTAGTTAAAAATGGCATGGGGAGTAATTTCCTGAAAACATTATGAATGGTGACTGTGAGACGTTGTCTTACACACAGCTCCGGGCTGAGCAGGGCTGTGATCTTCAGCTGCATCATTGGGTCTTTGCTCCAGGCATTGCTGTGGGACATTCGCACACACTCCAACATGGCCTCCATGTTGTCGTCATATCTCTTCTCTCTGGTGGTGACAAAAGGCAACATAAAGCTTTAAATCTACTTCGCATTAAGAATAAACCCTATATAACTACTAATTAAAATGATCAGTAACTGGTTTAAATTTCACAGTTCATGCCTTTAAAAGGAGACTTTTTACATCAGCATACTAATTTGTATAATTGATTCCTTTAATAATTTATAATATCAGCAAAAAAGCACCAAGACATGACCATTGTTACCACATAGTGAACACAACTGGATCACATTCACAAACCAACACAATCAACAGGTTTTCACATGTTCTCTAAAGAAAAAGTCAGTGCGCTTCCACTATTTTCTCAGTCCTTTAATTATCTTTGAGCAAAACCATCAGTTTCCAATCACAATGTCCAGTTTAATTTGTGAAATAGGTTTGTTGTTTGTTTGTTTTGGGGGTTTTTTTTGTTGCATTTTCTGTTTTGTAAAATCTTCTGAAATAGATATTTCAGTTGTGAAATGTTTTTTGCATTCACCTGTTATGTTGTGTCCTGGAACATTTTAAAGGACCAGTGTGTGGGATTTAGTGGCCTCTAGCAATAAGATTGCAGATTGCAACCAGCTAAAACCCCTTGACTCAACTCAGAGAAGAAACTGTGGTGGCCAACAAACTTGTAAAAAAAGGAAAAGTCCTGATCTACAGTCAGTGTTTGGTTTATCCATTCTGAGCTACTGTAGAAACATGGCTGTTCAACATGGTGGACTCTGTAGACAAAAACAGTTCATTCTAAGGAACAGAAATTACACTAATGAAAACATGTATATTATATTACATTTCTGCCAATATTTTTCTGCTTTAATGTTTTTGGCTTTGTCTCTTTTGTATTATGGTGTGTTTTGCACATCTCATCCAGAGTTAATCTGATCAGGGGGTGCATAAATTACAAGTAAAAGTCAAGATCAGAAATAATTTAAACGAATATTAAACTTAAAATGTATTCCTCGACTTTAGAGCTGATCCCGTCAGAGACTGAGCACACTGAGTCATTAAAAATCCTGTCATACCCAGTGCTTTCTCCCAGATCCTCCTCGATGGGTACCGCCAGCATGGGCCTCAGTCCCAGCAAGCTCATCTTCCCCATGGACTGAGAGATCTCACTCTCATTCTCACCAGCCACAAACTGGGCATACACAGTGGGTCGCAGCAGCAAGGAAAACCCCCTTTTCCCAAGGAGGGTGCGCGCTATTGTCATCAGCTGAAAGAAGAGGAGAAGAAGAGGTGAATGAAGACAGAAGAGTGACAGAGAGGAGAACGGTGATTGATACAGTCTTGCTTTATACAATTATACCTTATTACCTTATACCTTGCCATACATAGAGAAGAATAAGTCCATGCCTCACTGAGTCTTTCTTCCATTCACTCGTCTTACTCATCCCATTTTCATGCAAATAATGATCATGAGTGGTAAACTCAAGTCTTACCTTCCCACAGTTGTTAACCAGCACAGGGAAGGAGCAGAAGCGGAAGATGCTCAGAGCCCGGAGCAGCTCACCCAAACTCTTCACCCTGAAGGCACTGGGATCCTCAAAGGCCAGATTCGCTGAGAGAATGTCGGGCTGCTTGACCACCACTGTCCTGGAAGCCATAGTACCCATCACCCTCAGCGACAAGAGGCGAGGGAGTGAGGGACGCAAACGAGAGCACATCATCATCCCGGGAAATGTGTGTGTTTGTATGTTACTGTCTCAGCTTGTTGGTGGACTCCTGATTTGAAGTGTTTGTATAAGTCTTCCTTTGTTGTAAAGTGTGTGCCGTCTGTCCACTGTGGAAGCTGGATCTGACATGTGTGTTTAATAGAAATACAAAGATCCAGAGTGTCAGAGAGACATCATCAGAGTCTTAGAGGTCAGCTCAGGAAGACATGGTGTCCTCTCATGTCCGAACCTGTTGGAAGAGGAGAAGGAAAGAAGAGCAGCAGTGTTTATGCAGTTACCAGCCTTACTGCATGGCAACGAACAGTGACAATGAATGACAGAAAAACTTGTTTCTTTTTGAAAATAAAGGAAAAAACAAAACAGCTTTAAGGAGCTCGTTGAGTAAAAATCAGGACAATTTGAATTAAGTGTCTGTTAAGCTACTCCAAAAATAACAAATGTGTCTGAAATTGACAAAAAAATTCCAAAAGAAACAAGTCAATAAAAACATCTTACCCTCCTCCTAAAAGTGACACTCAGAAGACCTGAATGATGAAAAGCTAAGCAGGTGCGAATCAAGGATTTGTGTGTAGACCCGTAAAATGCATCATCTTTTGGCTTACTCACTGGTTAATAAGTGACTACTTGGAATATTGAGTAAACATCAAGTTGACCCTTAGCATCAACTCACAAGTGTTCCCTCTTTTTGACATCAACCAAATGGACGTTAAAAGCTTCATCATCTTTAAAAGCAATTATCGTATTTGATCTGGTTATTTTTCCTTTTCTGCCAGAAGCTTTAGAATAAATTTGGTTATAAAAGGTAATTCCAGGCTGTGATCATGGATTCAGAAGGCAGGCAAATAAAAGTGGGTCAAATACAAGTAGTATTCATTTCACTGCATTTATAATCATAGCTACAGTAATGTTGCCTTTTTAACTGTGAAACAAAGCAAAAGTTTGAGTTGTTGATCCATTAGGGATGTTGCAACGAGGAATTTTACCATTTATGTATAAACTCTGGTGAATACACATACAAAATCCTAAACATTAAGTTTCTTTATTAACATTAATATCCCTCATTTCATCTACTTTGTATGTCTTCTCTTCTGTGCCTCCATTTTTAAAACATTACCTGACAATGTAGTATAACACTGTCCTGTATTTTTTAAAACTAAGATTAATATTCTTTATTTTTATTATTGTGCATACACATTATCTCAATACTTCTGTAATTTCAATCTCATTATGTTTAATGCTTATTGGCTAATTCTGCTGCATTTACAGCAACATTGTTCCTGTTAAATAGACAAAGAGATAGTAAAATCCCTCTGTGACCCAGGGAGTAACATGGACACATAACACTCAGGAGAGATAAGTTATATTCTGAGGGGGTTGAGTTGAAACATATTTTCCCAAAATGACCAAGCAAAGCAGCCAGGAGAGGAAATGATTAACTGCTGCCTGCCGACATCCTGATAAAGTCCTTTAACTTCACACACGGGCCACCAACTAGGCATGAAAATAAATATAGTTTCAATAAATGATTGATGCTGTCACTCTCAATACTAAAGGGTTTGGGGATTTTAAGAAACGCATGCAGAAATTAAAAGGAGGTCCAAGGCAGTAAAACAATCTTAAGAAATTCTTTATTTCATTTTATTTTCTTTCGTCAAGCAGAAGAGATGGGACACTAGAACCCCTGACATATTGACACTTTTTAGTCCAGACATTACCACTTTAAAATAAAAATTTGACATTTGGTAAATACCGATATTCACGTTTTTAAGAGATAATAAATTGATACCACTGTCATGCCTGTCTGTTCAATTTGAAGCTAGGGCTAGCGGCCAGTTAGCATGAAGACTAGAAAGGAAGGGGGGCCATCTACCCTGGCTCCAGCAGATCTAGCACTCACAGATAACACTGACCAGGGGATGAAGATTTAACCAACTCATTCATACAACATGAAAGAGATAGCAGAGACTTCCAAGGTTAAGAACAATTATATTTATTACATATACCAAGAAAACTTAAACATTAACATTACGAATAACAAGGTATGGGAACAATTGTGTTAATGACAATATAAACCATATAAAACAATGTCAGGATGAGCTACAGCCAAAAATACAAAAAGGGGCACTATTAAAGTAAGAACTCCCATTCAGGGGCAGGTTCACTGTCTACCAGGAAAATGTAAGAGGAAGACCCACTCTTCGCAAACGCAAAAGGTTGGTGAAATTACAGAATATACACACAAACACACAAAACTAAAGATAAAGTGCAAGGTGCAAACACAGCAAACAACACTCAACCGTGCAATAGAAGGAGTGGTTACTCGGCATATTAGGCCCCCGGCTTGAACAGGACCACCCCCCTTCCTGGATCAGGTTTTGGCCTAGAACACAGAAAGAAACATTAGGATGGGCAAATGGGAATTAAAGACACCTTTACTGCTATCATGTTAAACCCTCTTAACTAGCACAGTAACAACATACATAAAGATAAAACCTAGATTTCAGCAATGCAAAAAGGCAAAAAACACAACAACAAAACAATTACACAATGACCAAGAACCACTAAATGGTTATTAAAGGATGGTTTTATATGTTTTACCTTAACAGTCACGAGTCAGTAAATCAGCTCCCACGTCAGGCTGGAAGAGCTATTCATCACTCTGTCATCAGTCACCAACAATCCAGTGAGTGTGCTGTCAGTCAAAGAAAAATCTGGCCTATAACATTAAACTGTCAACCCTCTAAGCCACAGGACCTTAAAGCATGCAAATACAACAAAAGCACCAATAACGAATACCTCAAATTAATTCACCATACAGATGAGGGGTACTGTCTTTACAGCCTGAGGGTTTGCCTGGTCTATATATAGAGGGGTTATATGCTATATATGCTATATGAGCTACACCTGGTGCTCAGTGGAACATGATCAGGCTCACTTAAGGAGGACTAGCTAACCCCCCTGGTCTTAAGGTGGACCAGCTAACCCTACACAACCAAGCCCCCATTTTGAATCATTATCCCGATAATAATTTAATACCAGAGCCTAAAGTTCTAATATAATATATATGTTAGTTACACCTGGGCCCAAAAAAAGTGCGCACACTCACCAGTGGATTAGTGTGAAGGGCTGTTATAGGGAAAGATTGATGGGGGCCATATGGACGTACTCGCAGAACGCCATGGGGTGTCCGAATCGTTCATACTAGTCTTTTTCTCTGGGGTGGTATGAAGTAGTGTGGGTTTTCTGAATCCCATACAGGCCACAAAGCTGTTTAATAAGAGCACATGGTTGGTCACATGGTCTTGTAGTCATCAGGTGGCAAAAAGTACAGCAGGTTGGGAAGCATTGGCTACAGTGCAGTGTTCACATTTCACACCATTCCTTTACCTGGTGGAAAGGACCCTGGTAAAGACCTCCTTCTGGATGCCCCTGGCAGTGGCAGCTGGCAGGTTGCCATTGGATCAGAGAGGTCCTTCTTCAGATAATTCCATCCTTTTCTACCAACCTATGCTGCTGTTTGAGGAGCTCCTTTGCAGACAGGCCAAGTTGTCTACACTCCTCAAAATGAGTGGATCCATGCTCTAAGAACCGGGGCTCCCCTTCTGTGGCACTCTGCCTGTAGGAGTGAGCTGTGTACCGTCTGTTGCAGAGTGCACAGATTTGGCTTGAGGAGAGATTCTGATGTTGGTACAGTGGTTTCTCAATAGAATTAGTGGAGTTCATTACCTGTGGACCTTTGGACCAGTTATCTTAGCTAAAGTAAGCTAAGCTAAGCTGAGCATAATATTTAGCATAAAGAGCAGTATCAATTTTTTCATAATTCTTGAAAGCAAAAGAAAGCAGATGTCCCTCCTGTCAAAATGTTACTTCAATAGAAAACCTTTGAGGTGATCTGTTTTGTTTTGTTGTTGTTTTTTTATTCACCCTCCTTCGGTATATTATTTTTAGATTTATCTTTTTTTGTGAGTAGCATAAAAGAAACTATAACTTAATCTTGCGATACAACCTTGTGTGGTAAAACAATAAATACATCTACATTTTAATCTCCTCCCAAAAGATCTAGATGCTAGCAAACACAGAAAACCCCATGTTTATTCTACACAGTGACTTTTAACAGTGTTTCAGTTGAAAAGATTTTAATCACAAAAGCCTTGAACATGATATTTTTTTTATTTTTCACACTGGAATGGATATTTGAAAAAGAAAATCTTCAATTGCTATTTACAAACTTGGTTCAATTTCACTAAAATGTTTATCAGCTGAATTATTGGGAATACACACACACAGACACACTCACTACACTGGGCTACTTGAATAAATGCTACACATTGATAAAACCCCTAAAAGCGCTATCAAGCCAAAACATTTTGTCAACATTAACATTCCTACATTTTAAAACACAGCTCTTGTGCTCATATCCAGGTAGGACCCCTGGGGGTGGGCGTGGCCATGCTGGTGTTGTCTGTACAGATGCCTGAATGGGATGGAGAGGGATGAGTGAGGGTCCTGACAAAGCCGGAGGGGATAGGAGGGAAAGGCAGGGTAGAGGCCTGGGGTAGGAGTGGAGGAGGGAAGACTGGAGGGAAGTGATGGATCAAGCTGAGGGAGAAGAGACGGGTGGTGCAGTACCATCTCTGGGCGGTAGGGGGCAGCAGGATTGAACTGAGGGATGGCACTTATTTCAACTGGAGGGTATGAGGATGTGGAGGAGGAAGTGGAGGGATTGGGTAGGTTTTGAGGGTGGGCTGTTGGCGGCAACGAGGTGGCACACTGCTGGAAAGAAGAGGAGACAGCCAAGCAAGAGGAGGGCTGGAAAGGAGGGTGTGAGAGGGAGGATGATGAGTGAGTGAAGGAGGAGGGAGGGAAGGCAGCAGCAAGGGAGGAAGCTTGGGCTTGGTGGCTCAGGTTTTGGAGGTGCAGAGCAGGATGGGCTGAACCGGGATTTGGAAATGACATATTTTGCATGTGTGGAGGGACAGAGGGGAAGGAAAAAGATGAAGGGGCACCGTGAGTGGGTAGGGGCCACTGCAGGCTATGAGCTGGCAGATGGTTTTGGTTGGGGAGAGGCTGAGTAGTAACTGGATCAGGATTTGCACTAAGGATATTTGGATAGATAAATCCTGCTGAGCTTTGATCGCTGGGCACATTATTTCCGTTACTAATAGGTTCATCCTGCAGCGGCTGACTAGGTTGGGTGAGCAGAGAATGAGCTGATATTTGGCCCTGAAGACCTGGCTGACATGTGGAAGGTGGAGCAGGAAAAGAGGCCTCTGTAGGTGTGTGGGGGCTGATCGTCTCCGGCATGGTGTGATAGGCGGAGGGGGAGGAGGAGGACAGGAGTGGCTGTGGCGAGGAGGAGTTAGAAGGAGGCGGAGTGGGAAAGGTGAAGGAGGTCTGCTGCAGGGAGGGAGTGGTGGAGGAGGAGGAGAGCGTTGGGGAGGCAGAGAGAAGAGATGGATAGTCGATAGGAGGAATGGAGGGCTGGGGATTCGATGTATCGGAAGAGCTGGGGACGGGGAGGGAGGAGAAGGACGAGGAGGAATGAGGGAGAGGAGCAGAGGGGAAAGAGGAGTTGGTCTGAGCAGCAGGGAAGGTGGAGGTGTAAGCTTGTTCACCCATAGTGTCTGATCTGTGGAGGAGAAAATGAGGGAGAGATATATTAATGCTGAAAAGACTTTAGTTAAGAAGAACAAGAATAAATCTCTTTCTGGCACCTACCTTTCAATTATACCATTTGCCACCTCACTTCCTGGTGCGTTCTGCATCCCATTTGCCATGGAGATGCTGATATCAGACATCTGGGATGCCATGAATGCCTGGCCAAGGTCTAGTGACTGATCCGGGACCAGCGTGTCCTGATAGGAGGCCTCTTCCGGTCTGAACCCACAGGAGGGGTCAGGCAGCTGGGGCAGAGAGGCCAGAGCGAGGGCCTGCAGGTCTGTGCTGGTGGGCTGAAGCTCAGTAGAGTCGCACGGATCACAGTTCACTGAGAGAGACAGACAGAAAAGGTTTTCAGGATGACAGACAATTCAAGGCAGTTATATCAAAATAATGTCCAAATGAATGACTTAAATTAGTGTAAGTCTGTTTATTCCGCTTACCAATATCCAAGGTTTCTGTCAAGACAGAGACTTTGCGCTTCTGTCTTGCATCTCTTTGTCTGCAGAGAAAAGAAAGGAGTTTAGATCTTCCACAATATGTACTATATGTGAAGTATATGTATCTGTGTGTGTGTTTCTGTGTGGGAGTTTGTTGGGAATTACTTTTTGCTGTTCATGCCCTCCTCTCTGAAGCCTTTAGCGAAGGGGTTGGAGCTGATCTTCAGTTCTGTGATCTAAAAATAGGGGAAAAAACAATTTTACACTTGGTTTACCTTCCCTCTACTTCTGCTCTTAGTTCTTAATGTTGCATTGAATCTCTAGCACAGCATCTTTCTGAATATATATATATGCTGTTATAGTACCTTGTTGTTCTGGTAGGCAGTGACTGTGATAAACTGAGTCTCAGGGAAAACAAAGGAGTGTTGCCCCCCGCCCCACCTCAGCACATCCCTGGCTTCAATGACGTGAACTCTGGGCTGGTAGCGATGCAGCGAGTGCAGGATTATCTGGAAATAAAAGAAAAGAGATTCACTCAAAAGGCACTATAAAAACAAAATCTATCAATGAAGGTTTTGGGTTGTATTTGACGCGGCCAGTCTGCTGCACTTACATGTCCCTGTGTGTCCAGCGTGTTGTTGGTGAGCTTGGCGTAGTGAAACGAGATGGTGCGGCTCTGCCAGTGTGCACCCGTGGCAGGTGAGTCTGGGTGGATGAAAACACGGTCTGGTAGCCTCGCCTCTGCGCCGCCAACGGCCTGCCAGCCTCCACCTTGGAAACGATAGCGGGAGTTGTCTGCAGGGATGATGTCCAGGAGGAGGATGTAACGGAGAGATGGGTTCAGACCTGAGAGCTTTAACCTCAGCCCGGGGAACATCCGTCTAAGAGAAGGAGAGACAGTGGACAAAAGTTGGCTCTCTTTTCAGTAGCTTGTTCGTCCCATGTATTCGTGTGGCAGTCATATGTGATTTAGTGATGCATTCTGCCTTTTAAAATACACAGTAGCAGATAATGTTGAGAGCAGGGATAGAGAGAGGATACTGGACAGTAGAGGAAGTGAAACTTGAAGGGGAAGTGGACAAAAAGCAGAAAAGATGTAAGAATAGATAAACTCCTTGAAAGTACAGGAGGATTCAAAATTAAGAAAAACCCAGAGAGTGGGGTCAAAGGTCGGGGCACTATATCCTCTCACCTGCCCTTCTTTGTGATGATCATCTCTGTGCCCACCGAGCTGAACTGTTTCCATAAAGACGCGTTCTCCAGCTCCATCCTCACCTCATCTTTTGGGGTTTTGGTGACAGGCTCGTTGGGGACGGGGGGAGGGGCCAGCAGCCTCGGGGGCAGGGCTTTGGCCGCCATGTCACAGGCAGGAGGGAACAACGGCATGTGGGCTGGAGGCTGCCGGTCTGTGGGATGACACAAATCCAGGATAAAATGGTTAAAATAAAGCAAATGTGGGTGTATATTGTGTGGATCAATTGTACAAACCAATAAAAAAACAATGCTTAGTTAAATACATTTGGCTGAAACAAACTAAATAAGTAATAAGTAAGCACCGCCTGAAACATTTCTATGTTGGATTTATCACCTTTAAACTAGGACCTCCGTGGGATTGAATGAAGAATTCTTTATTAAACCCTCGATGATTGTGATAGAAACATTTGATGATTTGCTATGGATTATCAACTCTCCTTCCCTTGTATGTTTTTGTTTGAGGGTGATCCCTTTTTCCCAACTGATTACCTTTTGTAATGTGCCCTCTGTCGCTATATTCATGCATGATCACGACTTTATACATACTTTTTTAGCGGATTTATGTATATCTTTATTGTAATATTTGATCTAATATTTCTTGTTAATATTCTGAATGTATTGCTGATAAATTATATACCCAATGTTGGTTTGCATGATACTGCCATGGAGATTGGAGACACTGGAGATCCACTAACTCGGTGGTTACAGCCAGACATGCTTTAAGAAAACTCATCTTGATTTATTGTGATACCTCTGTACCTGATGAAGAGCCAATTGGGTTCTGGTTTTAAATGTATAAAAGAAAAATATTTTTAAAGGGAGAATTCTACAGCGGTAGACCGTTAAAATCGTGGATACAAATTTTAAAAGCAAAAGCATTAAACCCCATTTCTTCATGGATGTCCAGTCTCTTTCTTTGTCACACACACACACACATGCACATACACACACTCCTTCTCACCTCTGTAAAAGCAGTCTCCAAACCTTTGTGGTCCCAGAGTCAAACTGGGGTACATCTCCACGCTCAGCATTTTCCTTTTCTGTGTTTGTCCCTTTACTCGTCCTTTTCACCTGCTGCAAAGTAACATTTCACTCTTCAGCTCTTTCTGTCTCCGTCTCTGTTTCCTTCAACAGATTTGATAACTATAATAAAAATCTTCTGCTGTATGGGAGACCTCTTCTTAAAAATGTCTCGTTTCTTGCTTCTTTTACTCTTCCTATCCGTCGGTCGTCCTTTGCTACAAATGCCCACAGTGGTGACTTGCTCTGTTATATAGGTGTGTTGAGCTTCACACTTAAGGCCAAATGGCCCCTCTTTTGCCTCCCTGTCTCTCCACACGATACCCTCATCTTCCCTTCTGTCCCTGCTCGACAAACACAAACAACACAAGTCACATCTAAAGGTGATTATTGAAATCAAGGGTTTTTCTATACTTTTAGTGTCTGATAGGGGAAGGTATGATATTTGTTTTATTTCATGTCACTAATAGGTAGGACTCTACTCAAGTACTGTTTGAGTTATTATACTTTACTGGGGAATTTTCATTTATTTCATTTCATTTATTTCAACTAGATACTTTGCAGATAATATTATAACTATTATAAAATAGAATGTATTGCCAAGTTAAATAACCAAAACTATACAAAGTAAATCTATAGATATACATTTGCTCCACCAAATTATTTATAAATTAAAATGTTGCTTACACATTAATACATCATAAGTGAATACTATATCGTGTACTTTTGATACTTTAAGTACCATTTGTTGCTAACACATCTGTACTTTTACATGACTTTGCTTGTTGCTGAGTATATTTATGTTGTGGTGTTGATATAGGATATGAATACCCCCTCCACCACTACATGTCAGGAAAACAGGCTCTAAAGAATCCATTAAACATATTTATCTTCAGTTTTAGTCATTAGAATAACATTATTTAGTCAGAGGTACAGCATGTGTACAGCCATTTGTAATCTTACTTCTGTGATTAATTTAATAATTCTTGGAAATCCTGCTCAAATTGCAAATGCTTCTTGCACATACATAGAAATCTAGTAGTTTACTGGCAGCTCCCCTGTGGCTGTTTGACGACTTGATGACATGTTTCTTCCTCTCAGCAGTCTGCTTATTAGGCTCTCTCAGCAGGGAGTCAGGCCTTGAATGAAGGTGGAAGAGGAAGACAGTTTGGCCGACGGCTGCAATTTGGCCACAACGCAAATAGAAGTGTCTAGAAGTTCGAATTCAGGTATGAGCTCACTATTACAGCTGATTCTGGGCAATGCTTTCCTGGAATATTTAACACAATTTAACACAATTGAATGAATCGATTCAACACAAATTCTGCTGTTTTGTGAAGGAAGTTTGGTGAGCAAACAGGATTTTTAAGTAGACCACACACAGACCTCTACGGGTAGTTCTGAGTCAATTACTTAATACAAGTTGTGGTTGTTATATTCAAATGTTTTACTTAAGTAAATGTAGTATTACCACAATATAAGATTACTAAATTTCAAGTAGTAGCAATCAAAAATTTAGTTAAGCAAAAGGACAGAAGTATTATTAGAAACATGTACTGCTAGTAAAAGAACTCATGTAGCAGATTATCTCTTGTTGGTGTTAAACTAATTTATTATTCTACTCCACTATATTTCAGTGGGTACGTTTTACTCTTTAACATACAAAACATATGAGCCGTTCATGAAATATAGCATTTCTATAAGTTAAACTACCAAAATAGAATATACAATCATTAGAATAAGCTCCCTCTTGACTGTATTAAAATGCTGCTGAAATGTTAATCAGTAATAATAAACCACTAATATAACAAATATTAAATACCTTATAATTGTACTTCAGTGCAATACTTAAGTATAGTGTACTAATGTTACATTCCACCACTAGATGTGAGAAAATAAGTGTCTAATCAGTGCAAAAGTGCCTTAAGAGAAAACACAATTTCATGTATGCAAATCAGTTGCAATAAGGTCTGAAACGTCTTCAGCACAAAACCACTCAACAGGCAGTGAGCAGGACAAAGACATTGGTCTTCCTTTTCTATTATTTTGTGGCAGCTGACAACAAGTTTCCCATTTTTCTTTTGTTGCTTAAACGTCAAATCCCCTGAAATGACAACTGTCACAAAAAAATCTTCATAAGAAACTTTAATATGCAAGACATGTCAACAGTAATCTGATGTTTTTTGGAGGACTTGTCAACAGACCATAGAGGCTCTTCAGCAGTAGATTACTGTTACATCATGAGTCAAGCCTTTGCAACTTAAATGACCGGGATAGAGTGGGAGATTTCATGTGAGGATCAACAAGTTTCAACAGTTTGAAAAGAAAACAACACTAGAAGAAGAAAAGGGCCTGAATCTACCTGCTCACTGACATTTCTGCCAGTTAAAAGAGTGACAGCTGGAGTCACTTTACAGCAGTAAAGTATAAATGTTGTTCTAGTTGTTGTTTTCTCTCTCCATTTGTGTGTGTATGTATACGTGTGTGTGTGTGTGTGTGTGTGCTGGGGGGGGGGATAAAAGCGAGTGGGGACTGAGAGGAAGTGGAGGTGTGAATGCCACACTGAGAAAAAGGTCATTACCTTGATGGGGGCAGCGAGGTGTGTGTGATGTCTCTTAATGTTTTTACGAACTGACAGGTGTGTCGCAGGCGCTGCAGCTACCAGACTCTGTAACAGCCAATGATGAGGATTGTTACTTGGTTTGTTTTTTTTAACCATTGCTGGAGTGGGGGCAGGTAGTTCATGCTGTTTACACTGCATTAAGTATAACTATGAGCCTGCTCTTTGACATGCATGTGCTAAGTGGTTTGATTTCCACCTTTGTTTGCTCACTGAGGTCTAAAGGTTATGTGATTGAAAAAACACTTAAAGACTTTATAAGATATAAGAAGTAACTGTCTTTACATTTTACATTGCAGCCTCAGATTGGTGCAGATGTCCCTGTTGTTTGAACACTTTTTGCTTAACAGGAGCTTGTCCGATTTCCTTGAGCATGTCTATGATGGAACAACAAGCCTTTTAATCTGATGAGGATTACTGATATTTCAGATGACATGCTTTTATCCTCTGCCCCCACTGTGCATTTAAGGATATTTTGTCTTATACAACACGCCCCAAAATCCACTTTTTTGATCAACAAAACCCATTTTTATTAAGACCCTGCCAGAAATACACGATAAACAGTATGACATGAACCAAGGAAGCACTTTTCATCATTACATGTTATATATATATATATATATATATATATATATATATATATATATCTAACATATAGTGAAACGCTCTGCTACTGTTTTACAGTCAGCTCTGAAATGTACATTCATTAAATGGAAAATGGCTTTTTTTATGCAACCATGTGACACACGTCCATATGAATCGCATCATTAGTTAAAGCAGACAGGGATTTTGTCCTCAATTTTATCCAATCAAAGCAGTAGAAATTAAGGACTAACTAGTGCAACTGTTGCTCGCAGGCGGTCAGACCACCTCCAGAGGGTCTCTGTCAGCCTTCGACACCACCACTTTTACACTGTCAGGAAGACGCACAGCCAGCCTCTCTCTGAACACAGCCAGAAAACCGCGCTCACTGTTGCTATGGTCACTGAGGATGACGCTGGTTCCCTTCGCCGCCGCGTCCAGCACTTCATGGTGGGACATCTCACCTGAACAATGGATATAATAATTACATCTGCAGGCATACCTACGCCAAGCAAATAAATTGGCAGTAAAACAAATAATATCAGCTTTATACAACTAATCTGAAATTTTACTTATAATGTCTACCTGTGATGTAGAGGTCAGCCTTAACTCCATTCAGTACTGAGGCCCCAGATCCAGCACACACAGCCACAGTGCACACAGAGGACGCTGGAAAATATCAGAATCTCAGGACCATTTCAACAAACAAATGAAAGTTAGATTTTAATGCATGATATGAATTTCACAACAACCATCTGTCTTCTTCTGCCTTTCAGAATCATTTTAGTGACATCTAGCCCAGGCTGACATCTCTGGCAGTGCTTGTTATTCCATGTTCAGGCTGAAGACTGGGATCTTGTGACATGCTTGACTTTGTATTTATTAAAGCTATTTGTTTTTTTGTTATGTGTTATGTTTGCTTTTAATATGGTCTGTACAAAGTTTGTCATAGCAGGTTTTGTTTATATAGTGATTTGGTTTGTATGAAGTTATGCTGAAGTGCAACTAAATACTTGGTAGTTTAGTTGAGAGTCACGTTCCACCTCTTGATTTAATCTTCCTGTTATATTTAGACCCAAAAGTCTGCAGGTTTTCATTTTAAACCAACTCTACAACAGCAGCATTTACCAATGATTTGTGGAATCAGGTGACTTGTTGTCCGCTTGGTATAAAAAGTGAAGACCATCTACTGGGCTAGTTAGTGAGTTTATATCTTTCATATTGTTGACATGTTGATTTAACGTACAACAGCCTGCTATTTGCATAAGAGTTTGTTACCTAGCGTCTGCCCCAATCCCAGAGCCAAACGCAGGTGACTTAAACCCAAGTGGGACTTCATTTTCTGGATGGCTGTCGCCACGGTGACTGGCTGTTCCAAAACACTGAGTCGTCCTTGGCCGTATCCTGGGAGAGGGGCCTGCAGGGAGCAAAAGGTGGAAAGTTAGTGAAAAAGTAACAGTATATCAAAATCATACAATAACTACCCATAAACTGCTTTGTGAAATGTAAAGGGTAGCTTTTAAAAAAGATCAATATGGAACTTTTTTGTTCTCCGTTTTCCATCCAGTTATTTAATTTTTTTAAATATGCACATTAATCTAAACAACATGGCACTTCATGAATTTCTCGATGTTCTTTGGTTCATCATTTGACAGCGATGTGTTTGTGCTGTACCTTTTCTAACTTTAGGATGTTGAGGGACATGCTCGGAGCATTGTGTCGTAACAGAGTCTGGACACTGGGGGTCAGCGCTGAGTCACTGCAGGTCACACTGACATGGATCCCACTGCTGTCCGGTCTGTTTTGAGTACAAATAAACTATTATTCATTACGCAAAGGACCTTAGTGATGAGTAGAGGTCAAACCTACGAAGCTACGATACAATACTACTGACCATGTTCCAGGTGCATTCAGTAATCATGTGCATGACTTTACTTTGTTGTCAAAGACAAGCTATTTGAGTTGAAAGCAGAGAGACTTTCTGAAAAGCGCTGACAAGTGTGAACGTCAACTCCCAAAACGCATTGCATTCATAAACTAAGTGACTTGAAAATCAAAGCCAGTATAATAAAGCAATGGATGTTGTGAATATCCAATGGGTGTTCCTTCAATAAAACTGATCTCGCACAACAACTTTGAGAGACAACAGAAACTTTAACGGTCCAGTGTGGAGTATTTAGTGGCATCAACCATTGCAGATTGAAACTCAAATTCAGCAAAAAAACACAAAAAACGTGAATTGCCCTTCTACAGCCAGTATTAGGTGGACCACAGCATCTTTAGATAAAAAAAGTCTCATTCTAAGGTAACAAAAAGAAAACAATTCCTATATTCAGGTGATTATACACCAATGAAAACATACCTATGAATATTATATTCCATGTCTGCCAATAGAGCCTCCTAAATGTTACACACTTGACCTTTAACAAGAAAAGGGCTTGAATTAGGAAACTAATGTTAAACTTATTGTATGGTCTGTAAAGTACACAGAACTAGGCTAACATATTAAGCGCTAACTCATACAAACATCCTTGAATACACATGTTGGTCTATGCAAACATGTACAGGACCTGTTGACTGAATGTTGTAGTATTGTGCCACTGTCACAGGCCTTCAGTTCCTCCATTACAGCGTTCAGTTCCTCTGTGCTCTTGACCGTGAATTCCAGTTTGTGACTGTGAGAGGCGCCACCGAGGGCCTGACTCAGCACAGACACCTGACCGCTACCTGAGAGTCAGAGACAGACACCAGAGATGGAGGAAAAAAAACAGGGGACAAGATGTAGGACACTCGGTCAAACAGTTGACCAGTGGGTCAGTGTCATGTGATACAACACTTTACCTTCATTAAATATGAAAGTATTGTAGGTGTGTGTGACACATTTTCCATACAGAAAGACCACTTACCAAGTCCCCCAACCAGCCAGTCATTAACTCCTCCTTTAACACTGTCCCACGAGGTATGAGGGGAGAAGATTGCTATCCCGGCCTCCACAGCCCGGATGGCCAATCGCTGCTTCCAATCTTTCTGAACCAGACGTTTGACCGGCCGAAACAACGGAGGGTGATATGAGACAATGAGGTCACAGCTCATGGCCTCTGCTTCCTGCATGACAGCATCTGTAAGGTCGTTGGTTAGCAGGACGGTTTTAATAGGGCGAGATTTGCTAGGCTCGACGAGCAGGCCAACATTGTCCCACGACTCAGCCAGAGACAGAGGAGCAAGCTGCTCCATCACCTGCAGGACTTCTGTTAGCTCCATCAGGCCTAAAGAGTGAGCAGAATGAGAGCGGCAGCGCTTCGAGGAGACGTGGACAGATGAGTGTAAGGGGACTGAGGTTTGTTGGCTTGCGAAGAAGCTGTGACTGTGAGTCGGGGAAGGGAGAGACGGAGTGATGGATGAAACCGTTGAGGGAGAGGAGTAGAGCGCAGCCTGTGATGTCAAGCTCCTCCTGGTACAAAGTCTTCTAAATGTGGGTGACAAAAATGCGAGAGAAACGTTTCTGCATCCGGTCAACATCAGTGGAGACCTGTGTGGACACAAGAAAAACAATCACTAATGAAGTCATAACTCAACAACTAAGTGCACTTCATCTCCTTCAAGAGGCAATCATTCTAATGAAGGGTGCAACTAGTGCTGAACTGACTGATCAATCAACATGTAGGAAATGTAATAAAGTAAAATGCTAAACATTCAGCTTCTAAAATGTGACTCTTTCTCTTTCGTTTTCTATCACTGTAAACTGAATACTTATGGTTTTTGGACTTTTGATCAGACAAAAAAAGCAACAGGGAGCCCATTAAAGGTCCAGTGTGTCGGATTTAGGTGTGGTTTCTGATTACAACCACCTCAACCAACAGATTGCCTGAAAGGATGCCACCACTGACGCAAACCAGTGAATCCAAAAAGCTGTTCCTCTCTGCTCAGACATCAAAAACACCAGAAAGCAACTGGTGAAAGATGAACTGGTTCCTCTTAATTGCTTCAATTATGTCCAGTGTCCCAAAACGACCATAAAAAGCCCTTTCAGCCACCTCAACCAGGACCCCACTTCACAACATCTGGCCAGAAAAATGCTCCATTTAAAGTAAACAACCAGAACAACCAACACTGTTAGCCCTATATCTAACCTAATGACATACATATATAGATTTCTGTCCCTGGAGCCTAATAGTTAGTAAAACAGTTATTTATTATTATTTATTTATGGTTCTAACATGACCTACTGTACCACACAGCTATGAGTTGTGACTGCCAGAGAGCATGCAGCAAACAGCAGAGCTAGCCACTGAGCTAACATTAGCTACTAATACACGCCTAACCGCCATATTTAAACAAACACAGTATAAACAAATCAATGTGTGCGGGAGGGACTTTAACATACTTTCTCTTTCCTTTTCACTCTACGGGATTACTAAAGCTCTGCTGCTGTTGAACACATTTTCGCCCGAAGTGACAGAGAGGTTGCGCCGACTGGAAAACTCGCGGATTGTCCCTCATCGGCTTCCGTTCTGTCACGCAATGGGTTTTGATTGGTCGGTTGAAATGTCAGCGGATGAAGTAATTATTCTTCATCACTTTGGAGTAAAAAGTGGTTAACTATGACCACATTACCACTGGCAGTAAGGCTACTTAAATAGCTCTGTGCTAATTAAATATCAGTAGATAGACAACGCTGGACTAAACTTCATTTATAAATGGGATTTATAATCTGTCTGCAGTCTGTAATTAAAATGTCAAACATTTTAGACACAGTTCAGACACATGTAAGTATATATGATGATAATGAATTGAGAAACTTTGATGCAAAAGAAGATATGATGTATTATTTGTATTCTCTGCAGATTGGAAAACTCCACTAAACTGCATTTAAAATAAGTTTCATCTGAGATATTACACATATCATATATCAATATCCTTCTGGTAGATGTTTTAGACAGATTGATTCATCACACCTACTCAGTGGTAGAGGACCCCGGCTCTCTGAGATACAATACTCCTTTATATTTATCTGCAAAACCATGACTGGACAACTTCACAAATAAGCGAAAAAAGCAGTTTCCCACTTGTTTTGCTGGGTTTTTTTAGGTCAATGTAGAAGATATAATTAAAAACAGGTTTTTTAAAAATAGGTAAGATGTAACCCTTAGACCCCTGACTCTGAATGATTAAAGTCCTCTTTTTTGTGATCTGTAATGAATCGAGACTTGGGTCAGTAGTCTACAAATGCAGAAAGATCAAGGTTGTGTAGGAACAAATTAAAATAGTTTAATCTCTCAGACTACAGAAACCCAAACTGACTTCAACGTTCAATTTTGACCAAAAATAATTCATATGAAATAGTTGGAACGAAACTCTCTCCGTAAACACTGAAATTTTTGCAGATAGAATTTGAGAGGGAGAATTTAATCAGATGAAGCTGAAGCAATAAGGCTGGTCACTGACAAACAAACACAAAATGTCCTTATCCCCACAACAGATGTGTCCAGTCACAGTCAGTTCTTTCTTTAACACTTCTAATAAGTTCATACTGATAAACATTTTGTTGGTAATATTGTAATTAAAAAAAAAACACTTTTGGATTATTGAAAAACACGTTAAACCATAAACAAACAGTATACAACAGCTGGCTTTACGTAATGTTGTTCATATGTAATGTTATACAACAAATTCACAGATTAATGTGAACAGGAAAAGACTAGATGAATTTGATAAGCTGTATTAACTCCCTGGGCAGGTGGTCCAGCAGTAGATACCCAGGGGGCTTCCGCCACTTCTCAGAAAGATTATTAGGACTTTTGGAATAAATAAATGAAAATCTGCACACACAAAAACAAAGCCGATGCTTGTCAGTGTTTGGAGATGATTGCAAAGGGTTAAAGCGGGCAGTTCTCATTAAGTGCACGACGGCAAGCTGCTGAGCAGAGTGGCTACCTCGGAATTGAGTCCGAGAGCGACCCAGAGAGAGATTATTGTGGATTAATGCAATAAAGGTCGATGTTGGATGTTAGAGGGATCAGGGGAGGATCAGGGCAAAGGCTAGCCGGCGAGCATTACATCATCTGATTCTTCCTTTGGCCTCATCAGCCTCTCTGTGCACTGAACCCCTCAGTTCAAATGGGGCTCAAACACACACACACACACACACACACACACACACACACACACACACACTCACACATACACACACACACACACACTGACATTTACATTATAAAAGCAATGAAACAATGTTAATCCTTCCTAAATTAATCTAAATATCTCATTCTCACTCTGACTGCCGGCACACAAAAAAGAGCAGCCATTTACAACACAAGAAAACACTTCTTCATTAAGTGTATTGGCACACCGATCTCCTCGCATATCCAATCTGTGGAGTGCCACTGACAGATGTGTTCATTTAGTTATCAGGTCAGTGTTTTCAGAGAGAGAACAGCTTCACTTTTGTTAATTGGTACTATAAGCCCTCGTGCCCCATCTGTCCATCCATTTGAAGTTCTGTCCGGTTTTATTTTTCAATAACATCTGTCTGGCTGATGTACCCCAGAGGGCGCGGTGTGTCCTCATTCAGATCCCTAAATTCCTTCAACACAGGTGTTTAATCTCCACTGTGCTGGCTTTGGGTCAGTTTGATGCAACATATTGGAGACAAACCACAAGACAAATTCCGTTAGCAGGTCTTTCATCAAGTGAAATCTGTGGAAATTCTGGTGCAAACTTTGATATTTTTACTGTTGTGTAGTCTGGTATAATTTGCATAAGTTGCTATTGATCAGACATCTGTGTATCTAAGTACCTTTGATTCTCTCAGGGTACATACAATGTTCATACAGATATTTCATAAACAGCTAATACTCTTAAAACTCTCCACCACTTTTTGTCCAAATATTCACAAACATTAACGACTTGTACTCAGAAGTGCCAAATTCAGTTCAACGAATGGCTCTTAAAAAGGCTAAATTCTAGGACATGCACATCTTTTCCCTCTTTTTTTTGCACTTAATACTTAAAAATCTGTTATGTATGATGTCGTGATGATGTTTTATGAGCGGCACACATCAGTGGCCTTTTTTTTGTGTCCGTTTTTGGCCAGACAATCTCTTTATCCTGATGTCCTTCTAAAGCAAGGGCAGCGAAGTTATTCAATCCTCAACATTTCTACCCACAGTCTAGTACAGCAGCATCACTGATGTTTTTGGTTTCCAAAATCCACATGACATTGGCACATGACATCCATATATGATTGCCTTGATGTATTGTACAAGCAGCCAGTTGATTTATCATGGAAGTCATGCTGATAATGTGTTGAGTTAGATAGACCTTGGGTAAGATTATAACGTGTCTTGACAGATGTTGTATCAATAAAGGAAGTAACTTTACTTTCTGTGGAATTTGCCGGATTATAAAGCACCCTTAGTCTTTTATCACATATATGACAAAGCCAAAAGTCTAATTTATACAGATTAAATGCAGAATAATACACACTCACTTTCCTTCTCCTGTCACACAGGAATCATGTTACATTCATTTAAAACAAAACTCTGATGCAAAGTTTGTTTAGATGTTTTATTGTAACTTTAAATAGCTGTTACCAAGAGGTAACTTAGGTTCCATCAATAAGTGAATTATGTAGCCCAACAAGTTCCATGTTACAACAAGCCCAGGCTAAATACTGTATATGTACATATACAATATACACAATAATAGCTCAACTGTCAGAACGATTCAGTAAATAATTAATATATCCCATTAGCAATTGATATAGTTCAACAAAACAATCCAAAATTAGTTTTTATATATACAATAAATAAATATTTTTCCATTTGTTAACATACTGTTCAATAATCTTACATTACAAAAATGTCTCAGTACATGATTGTCAATTTTTGCATAGCTGTAATATTCTCTCTGAGAGCGACTTGATATTGCTTGACTTTTCTTTGCAGCACTTTAGTATGAATTTTAGCATTTTTACGTGTTTCTTCATATACATACATATATATATTCATAAGTTAATCAGTCAAAGAGCTTTATAGAAATAAATTAATATTAATGCTTGTCCAGAGAGGTGCAAAGGTACTTTTCTTGACTGACGATCTCCTCAGCTGTCATTGACCGGACATCATTCTGACAAACTCTGCAGAGGAGTAGAAGAGTTTCATTAGCTTACTAATAAAATCATAGTAAATACATTGATTACATTTGCTTTAAACGTGAACAACACATTTACTGTAACATAAGTTCATAAACTCTTGACAATAACACAATTCCACCTGCACAACTGCTGTTAAATCCTCTGTTGTTTTGTGTTGTTTTTTGCACTATGAAGCTGTTTATTGATGTTCATGTCACTGCAGCTGAAAGATAGTTCGTACCTTCAAAGTCTACTGTGCCATCTCCGTTGTCATCTGCTTCTTTTACTATGGCATCAATCTCTCTTCGGCTCATGTGCTCTCCCATCAGCTTGGTCATGGCTGACCGCAGCTCCTCTGTTGTGATCTCTCCATCTCCGTCCGTGTCAAACTGAACAGAGAAACAAGAGGAGAAGAATAAAAGAGGAGGGGTTATCTTTAGGACACCACAGTGAGTGAGTTGGGGGGAAATCTGACAGTAAAGCAACTGCATAGCTGCTGCTTGTTTTTATTTCGAAAAGATCTGAGCGCCTGGAAAGTTTTAAGGCAAGTGTTTGACTCTCACCTCTTTAAAGGCGTCTTTGAGCTCTTTGACGCCAATCATCCCAGCCGTTTCTGCCAGAAGCTTCGGGGTCATCAGCTCTACAAAGTCCTCAAAGTCGACTCTGCCACCAACTGGGGGGAAAATCAAAAGAAAAGATGTAGGGGTTGAGAAACATCCATCACTCTTTCATCATTTACGTTTCTGACAGCTGTGCAAGTATTGCTTAAGTCCTATATCTTCAGTAGTCTTCACTTTCTGTGTTTTCTGTATCCATTTTGGACCAAAAACAACAATTTCTAATATAAAAAACAATATTTTTTAATATTTTTTTTAAAAGCAGGGACTCACGGTTCATGTTGATATTCTGGCTCAGCTCGATCAGCTCCATCTCCGTGGGCATGTAGCCCATTGTCCTCATCAGATTCCCCAGGTCCTTACAGCTGATCAGCCCGTCCTTGTCTTTATCAAACTCGTTGAACGCATCACGAAGCTCTGCAGAGGTGTTCAGAAAAACACTCAGTCATTAAAGGCTGTGTGGCAAAACCGAACATTTGAGTTGAACAAGTGAGTGTACAAAGTGTACAAGATGTAAACAGAACTGTAAGGGTTGTGTAGGTCAAAGTCTGCATGAGTTTAATCTGCATTTACTGTTGAAAACATGAGAATGTGCAAAGATTTAGACAGTAAGAATTAAACTTACCATCAATCTCATCATCAGCCAGTTGTCTGGACTGCACAAAGAGAAAAACAGTTTAAAAAACAGCAGCTGTGCAACATGCAGAAAGAAGATGATCTACCAACTCATCTACCAGACAATTAACAAAATGTATGTAAGTTCATTCTATTCCTATAGAATTAAACTGCACAGCAATAAAGATATTAAACTGTGGATTTAGGTGTAGATTAAGTGTTGATTATTACTCATACAGTATCATCACTGGCAGGCACAGATTCTCTCTCTGTGAGTGTGTACAGTTATCTCATCTTTTTTTTATCCGGTTACATTTTGGGTTATAATCCAATCAACTCTTCACATTCAGTTTGCAAACAACAGCACAAACCCATCCAAAATAGAAAAAGGTTTTACAGCTGTACTCACAATATTTTTCCCTCCTCGCAGGAAAATGCACGCTGCTCCAAAACTCATTTCTGCAAGAGGAAAAAACAGAGTGTGATGCATCATTAAGAAAAGTTATCAATGTAGAACATTAATTGATTTTCTGACACATGACACAGAGCTGGCCAGTGTTTCCCAGAGCCAGAAAGTCAGGATTAAGACAGATTGAGTAGTTTGTGTTCCCTCTGAGGGATTGAACACTTTGTCCTATATAACTCTCTCTCTCTCTCTGTGTATCTTCTGTTTCTGACATTATGGAAACATTTAACATAATTATAGAAGTATTCTGAAAACTGTAAACATAACAAACATTAAAACAGAGTTAAAAATACTAACTAATCCATTTAGATGAACCAACTACAAGTCTAAAACATCTAGAATCTTTTCTGTAATCATTTAAGATGATCAATTATCTGGCAAAATGAAAAAAGAAAGAAAAAAGAAAATGCCATTTAGGTCATCTTCAACAGGTCATTGACTATGTTATATGTACTGTCAATGTTTTTCATGAGCTAAATAATAAATCAGAATTAAGTGTCACTATGTTGGCGTTTGCTCACCTTCGTCTGTTGATTTCTTTTCATCAGCCAATCATATCATACACGACCCCTGAAGTCGAGACTCAGCAGCTGACCTCTGCAGAATGAAGAAGTCCCCCTGTCTTCTTTCTGTTTCCTAAACCTCTTCTCAGTGTCGGTCTCTGTCCCTCCTTACACAAGACAGCCTTGTCCTCTCAGCGTGTGACGACCCTGTCTGCCCTGCCTGATGGGATGCTGGGAGGTGGTATGAGGGGAGATGTGGCTGCATCCAGGGTTGTATGAGGGTGGGGAGGAGTCAGCGCTGTGACGGGAGGACAGCGGGTTCATATACGAGTTAAAGAGTGTTGACATCATATTGTAAGTTATACCGCCATCTGAACCCCCAGTTGACCAAAGAAACAGGACCCCTCTCAGTTCACAGGGGTCGAGTTGCTTGTTTACAATTTCTGTTCTTTTGTTTGCGGTGAGTTAATTACAGTAATTGTCGAATTCACTACAGATCTCAACCATTTAAATTAAAGTATTAGTATAACAAAAAACGTATTCTCATTATTGACTACTATGTCAGTTATTTCTTTGAATAACCTTTTAGTTGGATATTTCAATCATATAAAAACAGGGAAAAGCAGCAAATCTTTACAGTTTTGTTTGATAAATGATGGGAGAGAAACAGGATTACAGTATTGTAAGAGAATGGCATTATTTACATGAATTTACTGTAAACGTTACTGTAAACAGCTGAGCATCATGGGAAGATGAAACAAAAGATCTACATTTCAAAAGTTAACTGATTATCACAGAGATTCTTATTAAGTTTCTTAAACCTTTTTGTAGAAGTGCATATGCGACAGATATGCAAACATGTTTTTGGAGAAATAGAAATATATAGTGAATTATTATAAGTGTGTTTTTATCAACAGTTGTATCCTGTCAACAATTCTTCTGGTTTAAATCTTATTGGGTGAAGTGAATTACCCCCGCTATGAAAATAGTTATTTAAAGAGTGGAGTAACATTTTTCATATATTATGCCAGTGATTTGAAATATTAGTTGTAAGTTTTATACTGCTGAGTTTGAACTCTTATCAATATAGGCTGTATTGTTTCTGTTATGGCAGTGACACAATAAAAGAATAGAGGCCAACTGTGATCCTCTGTCTGTTATTTTAGTCCCTATTGTTAAGACACAGCAAAACAGATTTAGACGTATTAAAGGCCAATTACAGCTAATATAACAGTATGTGATAATCTTCCTGAGTATTGGTGACATTTGCGTGTGAAGGAAAAGGATTATTTTTTCCATTAAATTCCCTTATGACAATGCACGGGATTAAAGCCTCAGGGACAATCTTCACTTCCTGCAGCGAGGATATAAACCTTGAATTAACAGTCTGAGCTGAAGCAGTTCAGCACCAGGTCTTGATAGTGTGTGTGTGTGTGTGTGTGTGTGTGTGTGTGTGTGTGTGTGTGTGTGTGTGTGTGTGTGTGTGTGTGTGTGTGTGTGTGTGTGTGTGTGTGTGTGTCCTCTGCTCTGACCTTTTCCCCTCTGCTTGCTTCTCTGTTATGTAAATTCATCAAAAATCTGTTCGCATAAGAGGTGTAATCCGCTAGGCCAGGCAGCGGTGAACTAGTAATGATTTTATTATCTTTTTTCCCTCCCTCTGTTTCAGCAGGCCAGATGAAGGGTTTACGCAAGGCCGTACAAATGTCTGTGGAGTGAAGGGAAAGGGGAACATGGGTGAGAAGAGTATGAAAGAAAGCTGAGAAGGGGAGAAGGGAGGGCTGGGTGGTAGAAACTTAGGGATACACAGGTTTTTTTTTTTGGGAATGAAAGAAGAAAACTGTATCAGAAGCTGCTTGTCAATGGAAAATATGATAATATAAGTGATGAATATATGGAAGGGGGAATGTTTGTTTGAGTGTGTTTTGTGTACGTCAGCTAAAAGTGCACAACACAGAGATTACACTGAGTGGATTAAGAGAGCCGAGGTTGGGCCAAACAAGCCATACATGTGATTGTGACGGCGTGTGTCTGTGTGTGCAGAGATCAGCCGCCAAACCAACTTGACAGAAGGAAGAAAATCCAGTCACATGAAAAAGGAAATCTCAATAAGTAAACCTAAATAGTATAATATTAAATAATAATAAATGGCATTAACCACTCACCTATTTCTTGGTTTACACAATGCAATAAGCGTACAGGTAAATCTCTATCAGGAGAAATGTCAGTAAATTTAAATTGTAATTTGGAAAAAAGCTGTAAAATGCAGGCAGATCATGAATATATATTTCACCACGCAACGCCTGGTCTGTTTTTATTTTCTGCACATTATGCAATAGTTAACAGAAATATGTAGCATCTTTATTTTTCAGTAAGGATTACATAATAATCTGTCATCCCAAATACGGTTAAAATGGATGGGTGCCAGACACGAACTGAGTTTGTATTTGATGGTTCTTTGCACAGAAACAGCCGGTAGAAATGTCCATGAGAGAAACCATGAGAGTGCTTTTTACTTTTATACTCTGAGTGCATTCATAGCCTGTACTGTTTCACCTTTACTCGAGTAAAGAAGTTGATTCAGTGCTTCTACTTTTACCGGAGTCTTTTTTTAACAGCAGTATCTGTACTTCTGCTTGTATAAAGAATGTGTGTACTTTTGTCTCTGCCGATGTCACTATATGTTAAATTGAACTAATTAAGTTTTATTATCTAACTGTAGAAGTCACTTCCGGTGATGGCAGTATTAAAAAGTGATTACTTTCTCACAATTACAGAGACTTTTTTTTTTTTTGCTATCCTGTTCGTAATGTGGTATCCATCCTTTTAATATCTCTGTTTGTATTAGACTATTTTGGCAATATTTGACTTTTAGATGATTTCGCACCATAAAGTACCTTGATTTGTCAGGTATTTATTTTTTATTCTGAATTCAGCAAAAAATTACTTACGAATTACTGTTTGGTTTTCTTGTTTGTTTCTCATTTAAATTTCCAAGAAATGTGTTGCATAACAACAATGCATATTAATATGGCTATTTATTACATATGATTGAATCATATGATATACAATTTTATCTATATTTTACACCACTAATCAGTATAAGAGGCTATCAGAGAATTAATAATTCTTCCAAAAAGCTTTAATTTCTATCTTAACCAGTACAATCTGTTCTCAAAAAAACTTTTAGTCCACCGGTCCCTTTTGGAGGACAGCTGTTGCAAGTGAACTGAGTGAAACAACAAACAGGTTCGGATTAGGATTAAAAGCCAAACTCTGAAGACACATTTCCTCTCATGTGTTTAATAATGCTCTAATACATTTTGGAAGAAAATATTATACGTTTTACTACTTTTTACTACACCACATTTCAGGTAGTCTACTTTTACTATTCAGATGCAGAATTTACAAATGATCATCTTATCAAATATGGTGCTTTTCTATCAAAAACTGACTGAAACTATGCAACATAATAATATAATACATAATACTATAACCGTCATTTTATCTGCCTAGGGACTCTTTTTATCTTTGATTTTACATTTAGACTACATTTTGGTAATACTCATGTACTCACAAATTAGAACAAACAAACAAATAAGGGTTAATGATAAACTACAGACAGCTCACTAGTTAATAATAATCTTATAAATAATAATCTTATAAATACCCTTAAAGCTTTATGTCAGATTGTATCCAAAAACACTAACAATATGGTCCTACATGTTTTGTTTACGGTCGCTGTTAATCGTTGACATGAACCTCCTCGACCACACGGGGGCGTCGTTGCAGCTCCTGTGTCCCTCCCCCTCTGAAGCGTCGAAGAAGAGCACTTCCGTTTTCCTTTCGGCTCCCGCCCCGCTCCGCCATCATGAAGTCCTGAACAAAAACGGACGAGAGTCGAGCAAAATGGGGATAACACGAACTGGAGATGAAATCCGCCGACAGCACTAACGTAATGACAGCACAGAGTGGAGCACGGAGCGGACCCGTGGAAATTAATGAACCAGTTTCCCATTGAAAACGTCCCAGGCAGCTCCTGGCGTTACGTTATTTAGTTAGCGGTGTGGCTAACAGCAGCTAGAGCTAGCCCCTCTGATTTTCTCTGGCTAGCTCGTTTAGCTGGCAGGCGTCAGTCAGACTAGCTGTCACTGTAATTGACTGCCACTTTACTCATGTCAACTCGTGCAGACGTGCCAGCTGTCCAATTGACTGGGAGCATCAGGATGGAGAGGGGTTTGAGTAAAAGCATCGACAGACAGAATGTGGTTTGTTCGTGTTGAATAAGACACCAGTGTCGAGGAAAGGGGAGTGAGACCAATATTTTCCAGCCAGGCCAGTTAGCTAGCTCCAGAGCTAGCTACAGTGGATCCCAAAAGCCACGGTAAGACATGTTATAAATCATTCAGCACGTCAAAGCCGACCAATGCGCCTCTCTCCCTTGTGTTTGCAAGGGAAAAGAGCAGCTCGCAGCGTTGCCTGTCTAATTTTAAGATCCTGCAGACGTTGACATTGACATGCAGGCTTGTTGTTGGCCTGCAGCCAGTTGGAGTTGTTGTCGTCTACTGTTGAATATGTGTCGTGCATTTTCTTTGGTGTGCAAGAGCAAACGTAGCCTAATTGACCAGCCAAGTGCAAAAAAAAAAAAAAAAAGCCCATCTAGCTTGCTCAGCTGAGAGGCACACTATATATGATACTGACGGCAACCCATCTAGATAATTACTCCTCTGTCTCACCACGCCAAGGACAATATGCATTTTGTTTTCTAAATATATGCCCAGGGTGCTCCATGGTTGTAAAATTGCATGTATGTTAGAGAGAGATAATCTTGGCTGAAACCACATAATTGGAGCATTTGTTGCCTCTTGACTGCAATGAGTATGATATGGATGGGTCTTAATTAATAATTAAATTAAGATAATTAGACTGATAGTCTTTATTTAGGGTTTGGTTGCGAGATTTAAAGAACTTCTTATTTTCAAAGGGAACCATCTGCTTCCTCTTTGACAGTAGCAAAATGGCCACGAAAGAAATGTTTCATCTGATGCACGGTTCTTTTTTTTAAAAAAAAGTTTTGAAATACCGACATGAAGGCCCAGTTGCTACGTTTCCGACCACAATATAAAGCATGTGTTACATTTCCACAATAACCCTTTGACTAAATCCAAATATCCCATGATATACCCCGTGCCAGGCTGTTATCTGGACAGACACACAAATGAGCAGTTGCTGTTTCCACTACAGCTACATTACTAAGG